TTTTATTATTGATGTTACACAATGCTGCACACGGATGCACAAACAAAAATCAGTAACTGTAAAGTCATTTTGTAATACTATTTTATTAATTTGTAGATATTTTTCAAATTTTTTTTTTTTTTTTTTTTTTTTTAATTTTTAAAATTCAACTAAAGTCCTGCTGATTCTATTAGAAGGAAGGTCCTCATTTTAAAGTACTTGTATATGTCATATCACACTAGGAAAAAAAAAATGGAAATAATAAAAACTATTTATTTGATGAGTTTTCAAAGTGAATAATTTTATAAAAAAAATAAGGTTAAATTACATAAAGTATCATCGAGGTTTTCATTTCATGCACCTAAATAGAAGTATGCGCAATATATTGGTCAATCACTCTCGCAGTTTCATTTACTATTGTGAGAAGATCAAATTATCTATTAATTGAATTAAAATTACATCATTCCAAAAGGACAAAAGTACTAATAAATCACAATGGATCATGTGACCCATTTTTCAAAGTTAATTATTATTTCTTTTAGTTGCAGTTAGCGCTCTCTCACCATATTATTATTTCTTTTTCAAAATTTCCTTTTACATTGAATTTTTCACATGAGCATATAACAAAAAAAAAATTTGCATTAGCAAAACCCTATACAACATGTCAGAAGACAAGTTTAACATTGATGTTACATTTCAATTGTAATAAATAAAGAAAAAAATTATAGTAACCCAACTCGGATCTGAACAAAAAAAATAAAAATTATATATTTACAATCATAACAAATAGAAAACACAATATATTTTTTTTTAATAATAAAAAAAAAAAAAACCAAAATTATCTCCATAAAACAATGATTAAAAAAAAAACAACCTACAAGTATGATGACAATTGGTTAAAAAAAAAAAAACCTAAAACAAAGATTTATAGACAGTAAACAAAAATTCAAGATATAAACCCGTTCAAATATTAGATGTAAACCCTAAAATGATTAATCGATATATGAAAAATAAACAAATAAACACTATTGGTCAAAAAAATAGAGTAAATATGATTTATTGAAATTCTAAAATGACAAATAAACAAGAAAGCAATGAGGGGAATATACAGGAAGATTTTTTTTTTTTTGGGGGGGGCTAAGTTACACACCGACCAACTCCCTTTCAGAATTTTCTTTCAAATAATGGTTATGTGCATTAAAATTATATCAGTAAATTTACAATCATTTTTAAAGGTTAATTAGTCAATTTCTATATAAATGCACGAGATAAAAATATGTTGGGTGCTATGTATAATTTGTCCAAAAATAAAATAAAATTTGATAATACATTTCAATAATTTAGTGTTGATCATGGAACATTTAAAAAGTGTAGGAATCTGATAGTCTATTTTGGTCGAAAAATCTGAAAAATGGTATACCAAGAGTGGTTGCCAGATATTTGTGAAAATATCTTGATAAAGTAAATTACAATGAATCTATATATAAAATGATCATCCCACCACACTTTTGTAGATGCTATGAAGATAAGTTTTGTAGAGACCTAAAATTCAATATTATTCGCGAATGATGATGGTTGGTCTTTTACAGTCCACGTTTTCACATTTAAGACTACAAGAAGCTTATCCCAGGTAGTGCAAAAGCTATAAAAAGTTGATTTGACAAATATATATATATATATATATATATATATATATATATATGAAAAGAAGCTGTGAATTCTGTACAATTACCTGATCCTGTGTCCTGTGATCCATACCTACCTTCATCGATGGAGTTTACTATATATATATATATATATATAAATTAAACACACTAATATATATAAAAAAAAAAATTAATATACAATTAGCATACAGTACACACGTTTCATTTATTTATTTTATTTTATTAATTAAAAGGTAAGCTTTACAGTACAAACGTCTTGTTCGATTTATTATTATTATTATTATTATTATTTGTCATAACATCTTGTTTGCTCAAGCAGATTTTACATTGGTCCGTGTAAGAAACAGCTCTTTTAGGACTTGTTTGGTAGATATTTTATTTTTATTGTTTTATTTTAATTCAAAATAAAATAAAAATATTAATCAAAAACATATTTGATAATATCTATTTATTGTAAGATTTTTTGAAATAAAAACATAAAAGCATATTTGATATAAAATTGTTGTAAATTAAAAAAATATAATGGTTAATTTAAAAATGTCATTTAAGAGTTTTTTATTTTTTTTAAACAAAAAACACACTATGTTCATTGCTATAGTATCAAACGTTTACGAAAACATATAAAAATATCAAATTGATATTTTGATTTTTTACCATTATTCACGAAACATTTCGACACTACAAAACAAAATAATTTTTTACCAAATGCATTTTTTTCACTATTAACTGTTATAGTATCAGACAAAAGTTAAAACACATACAAAAACAAAACGCCATTAGCTACTATGTTGATATTGTTGAAGCTAAAATTAACACGACCATCTGATGATCAAGTAAGTGCTTGGAATTGTAGAGCCTGGGAGTGGTTCTGTATTGAATGTTAGTCTTTTCATATTTTGTTTACGATCATCAACTATATTTATGATTGCATCAGGATCGAAACGGTTATTTAGATGTCCATTGGGATAATTCAGTTTATTATTATTATTATTTTTTTGTAAAGGAAACGAAGCCGTTAAGGCTGCTGATTAAACTTTAGAGTTATTTTTTCCCTATCAGATGTCATTTGCTAATTTACTTCATTGGGGTTCGGTAAATTTTTCAGACATTTAAATATGGATAATGCTACTCAAATCAAAAGTCTAAGCTGATTTAAAAATATAGAAGAAAACTAGATATCTCATTGGCTCATTATTTTTTTTTGATTTGGTTATTCGAATTAATCTTATATTTTAAAAAGCAACCAGTGGTAAATATGGTTATTGCTTATTATCAATGAAAATAATAAATTGTTTATTGACCGAAGTATTATATAATCGTACTTTTGAGTACTTAATATTTTTACGTTATTAAATTATAAACTAAATTATGGTAACTGGGCATGAGTTACTTCCAATCCTTACTTAGGTTCACTTTAGGAAATCTAATAGAGAAATAATCAAGGATAACCTAATTCTTTGACTCTCTTTGGTTTCTTTCTTAATGTACATGATCTCTCATATCCTCCAACCTTATCCTTAAATATTTAAATTAAAATCTTCATTAATTCATTTGATATCAACCGATAGTAAATGTCACTTTTATTCAAGTTTTTTTATGGTCCCATTCCACTAACAGAATAATTATTAATATATTGCAAAAAAATAAAAAAAGTATAAGGCCATACAAATATATTTTTTTCAATAAATTATACTTGGTTCATAACTCTGATAATAATAGAATTACTTATGAGCGGGATAGGGACGAAGTGATAATTTTTTTTTTAGGGGGCATATTGTAGTTTTATCATATGATGTACATGCATATTTAGGGACGGAGCCAGCGTATGTCTAGGGGCAAGTGCCCCTGGCCTGGCCCCACCCACTATACATATAGAATTTTTTAAATATTTTATATGTGTATATATGAAATTTTTTATATAATGCCTCCCTAAAATTATTTTTTATTTTTCTAGTTTTTTCCTAATTCACTCCTCAATTTCCTTAAAAAAAACGTTTAAATTTTCCTTGGTAAATTAAATTTTAATTGTTTCCTTTTTAAGTTGTCATATGTTTTTTTTTTTTTTTTTTTTTTTTTTTTTTTTAACATTGTGCCTCTTAAACTAAAATCCTGACTTCGCCATAATGCATATTAGTCGATGTTTACAAGTATATATATATATAAAGAGCCTCTTAAACTAAAATTCTGACTCCGCCATAGTGCATATTAGTCGATGTTTACAAGTATATATATATATAAAGAGAGTCATATTTTTGGAATGAAATTAATTTACAAATATATAATATAAGATTAAGGAAATAATTTAGAAAAAAAAAAAAAAATTTAAAATATAAGAGAGGGAGACCTTCACTCTCTAAGACCATTGCTATGAGTATGTATTTTTGTCTGTACATATCAAATACAGAGTCTTTTACTAATTCTCTTTCAAGGAGTTAGATACCCGCTTCAATTTTTGTTTTTTTTTTTTCTTCTATGGGCCTCAAAATCTTAATATAAGATTTAATTAATAATTAAGATCAGTAAACAAAGATAGATCAGCAAACGTCCGACTCAATTGTTACTCAATTTTTGTACATAATCACGGGATAACCACTGTCATTAAGTTCAATTCACAATAACAATTATTTTTTAACTTTTACTTAAAAAATAAAAGAGCTACAAGCCTACAACTATACTACCATAAATAAGTAATAAATTTTTTTTTTTTTTGAAAGGAACGCTTAAATGACATCACTATACTGCAATGACTTTCCAATCAATAAATTTTTTTTTATAGACACACAAATAACCCCACTTGTATTGGTATGATACTAATAGATCGAATAGAAAGTATAGTAGTATCTCAGACCTGTTGGAATGACAAACTAGGTGTTACAAGTCTCTGTGGACCAATTATACCCCTACATGATGGTTATTAAACAGGAGTTGACCACTTAACACAGCTCAAAATTAAAGGGCACTTTTGCCATTTACATCTAAAGGTTTCTTACAGCCTCCAAAGTCCAAGACTCCAAAGCAAATCACGCGCACTGTAACACAGACTGAAGCTGGAGAAGATAAGCAACACTCTTCCCTCCTGCCACGTGCCAAACAGACAGACTAATAGACTAGCCCTTCTCGCACGTGCCAAAGACCTACGTAAGCAAAAGCCTGAAGAAGCAACCCAGTAGCAGCAATTGAGAGACTGCACGTGCGAACACCGTCATCACACGTGAAAAAGTAAAACCCAACCACGGTTATAAGTAAAAACAAAATGCTGCGTAGTTGATCATTGTTTAACCGCGATTAGAAAGTGCCCTAAGTTTAATCCTCCGTACGTCGTAGCATAAATACCCCTCAACCACCGTCTTTTCAAACTGTATCTCTCCTCTCTCTCTGTCTCTCTCTACACTCTCTCTCTAACCTTAGAAAAACCAGAGCAAACAAAGCTATACTATTCTTCTTCTTCTCTCTGTGTACGGAAACCCTAGGGTTCTGATCTGCAATAAGGCTGCTACTATCTGAAGCATTAATGCGTTTAAAGCAATGCTTTTGAAGCTATTTTAATGGCGGTCTGAATGAAGCTGTATTCGTATCTGTTACAGTGAAAGCATTGACTTTGAGCTTCATTGATTCTCCACTTAAACTTTTTCTGTCTGTTTGTCTATGTTTTAGCTATTGCTTCGTTCTCTCTCGTCTTAGTCCTTCGTATCCGATTCTACAAAAATCCCAAAATAAACAAAGAAAAGGAAAAGAATTTCCGAGAAAAAGTGAAAATCCATTGTTTCTAACCATTTTGAGAACTGTTGCTTGGATTCTATTCGAATTCTTTAGCTTTTTTGACTGGTAGTTCGAAGTCTCCATACATTCATTCGTTGTAAAGAACCGACCAGCTCGAATAAAGTCCGCGGAAAAGTAATTTTCTCTCTCTAAAAGGGGAGGAAGTAGAGAGAGAAAGTGTTGTAAGATGTTTCAACGCGACTCAGACGGCGAAGCAAGTTCTGAAACCCTAAATTCAAGCCAGAGCTCGATGAGCAGCGATAGTTGTCCCAGTATCGTTCGATTGTCGTTCGACAATCTCGAACTCTCATCGACGCGATCGCACTCGCCGGAGAACCTGAGGCTGAAGCCGCACCGGTCGTCGGATTCGTCGTGGCAGGCGATACGGTCGGCGACGTTCAGCCGGAAGTCCGGCCTCAATTTCAGAGACTTCAAGCTCGTCCGGCAGATCGGCAGCGGCGACATCGGGAAAGTGTACCTGTGTCGGCTTCGCAGCGACGAGAGCTGTTTTTATGCCATGAAAGTGGTGGATACAGAGGCTTTGGCTCTGAAGAAAAAGGTTCAGAGAGCAGAGATGGAGAAGAAAATTCTGAAAATGTTAGACCATCCGTTTTTGCCTACTCTATACGCAGCATTCGAAGCTTCGCATTTCTCTTGCGTTGTCATCGAGTTTTGTTCCGGTGGCGATTTGCATTCTCTCAGACATAAACAGCCTTACAAACGCTTTTCTTTGAGCTCAGCAAGGTACATTCACGGGGATTAACTTTCTCTCTCTACATACGCATATATATAGATATATCATTATAAATTGAAAAGGCTGCAATGACTGAAGTTTTATATAAATTACAAACAAATTGTATTTCTCAAAATAAACGATTTATTTTTTTGGACCTGAGAAAGTAAAATTCTGAATCTTGTCATTGTCATGTAGTTTTTCTTTGATCTTTTGCATGTTTGATTCTCTGTGTTTTGTATTTTTCTACCTGAAGGACCCTAGCTAGATGTTCTTATCCAGTAATGTTCTGTCTGTTTCAACTCTGCGAAATTCTATTCTTACAATGGAAAATTCCTTTTATTCTCTCTTTGTTAATAGTTATTTTTCTTTTCCATTTTCTTGGAAAATTGCGGTGGTTTAGCCGCAAATTTCCATTTAATTATGATTTTCCGTTATTAGAATTTTCTAATTTCGGTTAGTTATTGTAAACTGGATTTACTACCATTTCAGGCATTTCTTGTATTTTCTCCTATTTTTTTAATTTTTATTATATTTTGGCTTTAAATAAAATATTCTTTCCTTTTTAGCAAGGTTAGCAAGAAATTTTGATGTGTTAGTGTGGTATTGTTTTTTTCCGAGAAAATGAAAGCTAAACTTTTGTCCATTTTTTCAGGTTTTACGCGGCTGAGGTTCTCGTAGCTCTAGAGTACCTTCACATGTTGGGAATCATCTACAGAGACCTGAAGCCCGAAAACATATTAGTCAGATCCGACGGTCACATCATGCTCTCAGATTTCGACCTTTCACTCTGCTGCGATGCAATCCCAGCCGTTGAATCACCCGACTACTCCCCAGACCCATCCTCACCGTCCGTTTCGCAGTCTCCTCGCTCACTCACCCCCTTCTTCTCCTCCTGCCTCTCCAACCGGTTGTTCCGGTCAAAAAAAATCCAAACGCTGTCGAGGAACCGGCTGTTCGTGGCCGAGCCGGTCAGCGCCCGGTCCTGCTCATTCGTTGGGACCCACGAGTACGTCTCACCGGAGGTGGCCTCCGGTGGGTCCCACGGAAACGCCGTGGATTGGTGGTCCCTCGGGATCTTCATCTACGAGATGATATACGGTCGTACGCCCTTTTCCGGCGAGACCAATGAAACCACCCTGCGAAGCATCGTAAAAAAACCCCTGGCCTTCCCAACAAACTCGCCAGTCAACGAGCTTGAAATGCACGCGCGAGATTTAATATCCGGATTGTTGAAGAAGGACCCGGAAGTTAGACTCGGGTCGAAGCGCGGGGCTGCTGACGTGAAGACCCACCCGTTTTTCAAGGGCATGAACTTTGCTCTGATACGGTCTGTGAAGCCGCCGGAGATTCCGGGAATCCGGGGACAGAAAACGACGACGTCGCGTCAGGAAAGGAATGTGAGGCAATCAATGGCGTTTGATTACTTCTGATTTGAGTTGAGGGAAGACTACTGTAGCCGTGGGAGATAAGCCGTTCCCGCCAGAATTTTGTCTGCTGACAACTGTATATTCGTGGGCCGATTTCTCTTTATTAACTACTCCACTACATATATGTTTAGAAGTTGTACTAGTAATTTGTAGGAGGTGAAATCAATATGAAAATGGAAATTAGTATTTTCAGATGTCAATTTTTGTAACTTTAGAAGATATATTACTCCTCCATATAAATATAACATCTTCTTAGTAGATTCGATCAAACTCAATATTTAGTAGATGGATAATCAAAAGTAGTATTAGTATATTATTTATGAAATGAAAATGATTAACTCGGAGTGTAGTAGGCTAAGCCTGTGTTTTGGAACCCACTAAAATGCGCCGCGTAGACAGTGGGGGGATAAGCATCATGTGCAAGGTGGGCATTATGTGGGGCTCAGACATGGCAAACCTGAACATCAACGGCTCATATTGTCTCTAGAATATCATTTGTTAATTAAAATCATTGGAGAATAATTAATTAATTTCCATACAAACAAAAGGCAAAAGAGAAGCCAGTTTTGCACAAGTCGAGGTGTTAAAGACATTTCATCATCACGCTCTCCTGCCTCATTGACAAGCATGTCTTCATTATTATTATTATTATTTTTTTTTCTGAAAATATAAAGGTTGAGGACTTGACAAATTAAGAGAAGAGAGATTGAGCAACTGGACACTATACTAATAAAATCACTAAATAATGCCTGTTTTATTAATTCTTTAGATTTTAATACATTCTCTCTTTTTGCTTCGTTTTTTTAGTAATTGTTTTTTTTTTTTTTTTTTTTTTTTTTTAACAGTTCAATGATTTTCAATGGTCACTATTATTGTTGTAGAGAATTTTTTTTTTATTCGTCGGTGTAGATTATTTTTATATACACGCCAGTGTGATGTTACAGATTGTTTCTATATATATATATATATACACACATCTCACTTGAATCTTAAATTTATATGTAAAAAAGGAATAGAGCATGCACTCTCAACGGTCCAATAAAAAGTTGTTAGATACAAGACTTTGTTATTCTTGAATTTGAAAAGAGATTGAACATACATTGTTTTCACTTCTTACGTGGAGACCTACTGTTTTATATTTTGAAATTAATACATTAAAATTGAAATTAATGAAACGAATTAAATTTTTTACAACTTTAGTTTCAATTCACCCATCAAATTTATAAATTTAATTCACGACATCTTGTGACATGATATAGAATATTTTGTTTGATTAACCGTGTTTAACACACACACACACGTTGTGATTTAGATTTGCGAGCGAACTTGGATGGGAAGGTAAGGGTGGTGAGGGTGAGAGAGTCCCATTTGACAACACATGGGGTTGTCCATGTGACCACCTGCCAACCAGGCATTCCTACCAGCTTACTTTAAAGCTGTGTTCCCTTCATGTCCCAAAATCCCTACCCCACCCTCTAACAAAAAACCTATCAACAGCTGTCCCACCCTAACATCCAATCACTTTCCCACAAGTGGCTTGTTTTCCTGCTGTCCACGTATCACCTTTTAGCCTCCAAGTCACTCCTATCTTTCAATCATAAACCCACCTCTGATGCATGATTTGTTTTTCATGTCGTAGGGATGGGTTCAATGATACGAAGGGACATAAAAATAAAATAAAATATATAAAAACTACAAAATGATAATGATAATGATTGTGATGAGAAAGAAGAAATGACTTGGAAGAAGATTGGATAGTAGACTGTTTGTTTGAATAATGATGAGTCTACAGAATTTAAATTTTGATTATTTGCATTCCTATGGGTTCTGTTTTATTGACTTGGAGAAATTCTTGATTATTCCCGTACTATTTTTTATTGCTGAGTTATTATTATTATTAAGAGTGATAAAAGTTGACATAATTTGTTAACATGATTTAAACATAAAATAAATTAAATGAATTTGGATTAATTTTAAACAGTTCAGTCATAAAATGAGCCAACGTAATTAATCTATTTGATTAATCGTGTTTTGTTTGAGTTGAAGAATTCAACTCGTGGAATCCGTTTATACACGTTTAACTATATATGTTATAAATAAATTTTTATTTAAATTCTAAAATTATTATATAAACTTGTGTCTTATAAATTTATCCTTTTGTAAACTAGAGACTATTTATTAATTTGATTAATTAAAACTTATATTTTTTTTAGTATTTATTATTTTATTGAGTATTATTAATAATTTAAATAATATAATTTTTTTTTTGGTTTTTTTGTAAATATGTCATTAAATGAGTTACACGTGTAACTCGTTTAATAAACAGATCAGGTTAGTGTTGAAAGTTCCTAACACGATTATTAAATGGGTCGTGTTCGGGTTGAACTGTTAAATATAATACTCTTAAGTTGGCACGACACGATTACGATCCGCGAACACAAATTGCCACCCCTAATCATTACTGTATATTTTTTTTACTAAAATATAAAAAAAAATTCTCCATTTTTAATATTTTATAACTAATTATTTTTATAAAAAAAATTATTTGTTACCAAAATGAATAATCCTAAAAAAATTAATAAAATAATTCAAATACATTTTTTTTAAATACTAGAAAAATACATTTATGAATAACAAATGAATTATTTTCAATCTTTTTGAAAAATTTCTTTGTCTTTATGAAGATTTTATAGGACTTATTTATCTTAGTAGGACTAATCAGAAATGTTGAGGATGAAATCCACGCGGTCCGATACGACACCGTTTTCCTATAAAGAAGAGAGTAGAAGATCGATAAATGTTGATGGCACCGGTGTGGTGCTTGCCAAGAGCTCTCAGACAATCAAGTTAGTCGCCTTATGTCTAAAAGAAAGGCCGGAATTTAACAATAATTTTTTTGTCGTACTTTTATTGACTGGTAGAATCTCATTTTTATAGTCGCTCTCACTCAGTTCATTCGGGGATATCATTTAACCCTTTGACTTCCTCAAATACGTCATATTTCATTATCCTTGATAATGAAATATTATTATTCTTATCCGATAAAAATATCATCGTTCGAAAGTCGAACAGGTTTGGCGGCTTATTAACACTTAGTTGCCTCTATCATTAGGTCAAGATAGGTTAGGTTTATTTTTCCCTATCTAATCTCTTCTTTACAATAAAACGGTGTCGTATCGAACCGCATGAATTTCACCCTCAACAAGAAAATTTCTCTATTGTCTTAATTTCCTCTGTTTTGGGTGTGTAACTTCTTTTAATAATTTCTTATATTAATGGCAACGAGGGTGTATTACATTATAATAATATTATATAATTAGTAGATGACTCTAATTGGGGTTTAGTGTTGTCTTTCCATAATTGGAATTGGGATTTAATTTAAAATAAAAGGTTTAGATTAAGAAAATTTTCCATTGGGCCAACTAATATCTTTATTTAAAATATTCCACTTATATACCGAATGAAAAAAATAAAAAACATCTTTATTTAATACTTTTACTTTATTCTTTATAAATATTATGACCCAACTCTCATTGTTACGAAATTATTTATGGAACTAATTATATACTCGTATTAAAAAAAAGAATAATGATACAATATAGTCTGATAGACGAATTAATCAAATGTTTTATTTGAGTGGAAATGATGTCAATTATTGCGTCAGCCACAATGATATAGTTAATACCTACTTGTATAAATGTAATTAAATGCGTCCGAATATATCACAACTGATTATTTTTATTTATATTTATATTTTTTTATTATTAATTTTTTTTTCTTTTTTTAGATAGAAACAATGAAGGCAGAGAGAGAGAGGAGGAAATAAAAAGAAAGAGAAACAAATAGATTTAATAACAAAAATTAAATATAACAAAAATTACATCCATTCCATGCATCTAGGATTCTCAATTAACCAAAAATTGACATACAAAATAGCAACTTATGATGAATACAAATTGACAAAAATTAACCAAAAATTTCATTGAAGACTTTAATAGCAAAAAAATTGACATACAAAATAGCAACTTATGATGAATACAAATTGACAAGACGTGAGATTATTTGATAGCATATGTGTAGTTTGTCGGGTGGAGACTTTTGTCACATGTATTACATATGTGTGGACTACACAACATGTTACATGTGTATATATATATAAAGAACGTAGAGAGTAAATAAAGAGAGAGAGAAACAGAAACAAATAGAAACTCAAGCGTAGGAGGAGACATTTTCAGAACAAGTTGCCAAAGAGTGGGGTTCCCTCTACTGGCAGTCTCACCAAGCGTGACCTAAATTTCATCTTCAATTTACAAACAAAAGTACAAACTAACTTACATACAGTTGTGTTTGTTTAGATGTAAAATATTTTTTTAAATATATTTTTTTATTTTTTAATGTTTGGTTATTGTAAAATATTTACGAAGAAAAAAAATTTTAAAATTAAAAAAAAATAATTTATCTATCAATTTTTGATAAGTTATTTTACATACCCTACTCGATGGAATGTTTATGAAAAAAAAAAATATATATTTTACTTGAAAAAGAAAAATATTAAAAAATATTTTACAATTTTTCCGAACAAGAGAGGTTTGATGCTTCTAAATCCATTGTATTAATTTGATTTCCACTCATAGTATGCTCTTTATGGTCTCAGCCCCTGATTCAGTTGCCATGTATTTAGCTATTGAATCTCAAAATTTATGTTTTTATATGATCGCAACATAAAAAAAAAAAGTTGTGCGTGCATCTTTAAAACATATTAATATTGTATTTTTTTCGTTTCAATATAGTTATTCATTTTAAAAATTATAATTTAAGTGGACAGTTATATTGAGAGTTGGGACTAAAGAAGTAATTTATAACTATTTTTCGCTGTTCTTGCCGTATTGGTGAATTGCCCCATCATCTTAGCGTCGTCATTCATAAAAGTTTCATATGCGTGCTGTGAGTTATGATAAGAAGTTCGATGACTGAATTGACGTTAATAGAATTATTGCCATCGCAAAATAATCAAAATTATCCTACTGTCGAGTATCATTTTTCAAAAATACTTATGGTATAAATATGAACTGTGTATTTAGAATCCGAGGTAGTCACCTAACCTGCAACGAACTATAATGTCAACGCAGAGAAGGCAGGAGGTATGACGTGGTAGTCTGACAATCGCCGGAATAGAGTAGTGGTGGGTCAGATAACAGTACAATCATGAGTCAATTCAAATGAGTAATGGTGGTGATGTGTCAGATTAGAATGCAGTTCATGATGGTCTGCTGGTGCGTCTCAGTTTTTCAAAACCCACGGGGTGAGAGGGAAAAAAAAAAACAAAAAAAT